AATAATTTTGAATATTGATTATTGGATAGAAGTATGAACAGAGTCGGCAATAAAGAGGTGACACATCCAAGCATTTCGTCGAGAAAAACACAAATCAAATCATTGTTTTTTAGGGAAATCCAAACATCGTTGGTCGTCGGCCACCTTGTTTTTCTTTCTGGGAACAAGGGAAGGGAAGTGACAGAGCCTGGCATTCAAATAACAAAAGTGTTCAAAACTTCATAGACCCCAAAGAAAGGAAAACATCCAAGACCTTTAGATTAACATTCAGGACCCTAGGATAAATTAGAAACGCAATTGAGTCCCGAGATCACCGGTGGCCTCAATAGAGATGCTATGGCCACCATATCTGGAGATAGCACCTTCCCTTGGCTCGTCGAATCTACAAGGCATGAGCCAAAGTCATTGCCCTCACCCCCCCCCCCTCAGTAACAAAGAAAAAAGGGGAAACAACCCAAAGAACCACTGGATCTGTCGCCGCCTGAGCTTATCAATAAAACCATTGCCAATTTTGCCTCCCATAGCAACCATCCACCATGGACGACAACTAGAAGAAGTACATGCTCGCTAGCGCATGCCATTCACTGGCGTTTGTGTCAAGCTTCTCCATGGAATATAAAGTTAGTCCCCTAAGGCATCCATAACTAAACAACTACTATGTACACGACCGGCCTACTCCCTACCCATCTCTTCTCCTGGCAGCGGGGTCACTTGAGGAGGAGGAGGAGGAGGAGGAGGAGGAGGGGAGACGTGAAGCGCAAGAGGACTCTTGGGGAGAGGGCATGGGGAGAAAAATGGGAGATGAGAGTCCATTTGGATATTTTGTTGACTCCATAGGGTTCTTCCACATGTCCTATTACATGTACTAGTGTAATGTTTTGATATATTTGATTGTACTTTAGTTGTCTAAACTCACATGCAAGGCACTTATAACTTACTAGTACATGTTGGTATGCAGGGAAGAAACTAAAAGATAACATTGCCATCGTGATAGTGGGTGCCGTCGCAATCGTGGCCATGATCGGTTTGCAACTTTTCTACTAGTAAACCGAAGATCAAGAAGGCTCAAGCTGCTCAACAACTCGACTACTAGGTAGGACATATATGAAGGCTCCAAGCTACTGCACTAGTGAGGGAAGACTACAATAAAAGCTCCTCTTACGGTGTAAACATAGAAAAATTAAACATACGAGCCATTGGATCTTGGATGGATACTCTGAATTCACATGTGGGGGCTGGTGAAGAGCTCGGTTGATTTCATGAAAACCCCTGACTAACACCAATATACAAAAAAGGCACAATGTGAAAGTACCTGCGCAATACACCATTATGTTGTTAATTTGTTCAATAAATACAACATTTTTAGTCTTAACATGGGGGAAGGCATCCCCCACCCCTTATGTTGACGTGATTTAACACAATAGTGTTTATTAGTCCTAAGTGTACCACTAGTATTGGATTGTTTTAATTGTATATGTTTCACAGTACTGAAGTACCAATGGAATACATCATTCCATTTTAAAATGGTTTAATGAATGCATATACTTTTAGTCATAACAGGGAGGGGGCGGTGGGCCCCTACCCTTGTGTTAAAGTGGGCTCTAGGGCGGTCTGCTGACCGTCAACACGCCCACCGGCCCAACGTTCGTCGACATGGAGAGGGCCCTCGCTGTCGCCGAGCCCATCCCGCAAGGCACGCAATGCAAATGGACGCTGTCGCCAGACCATGGCGCTGCGTGAAGGAAATATGCCCTAGAGGCAATAATAAAGTTATTATTTATTTCCTTATATCATGATAAATGTTTATTATTCATGCTAGAATTGTATTAACCGGAAACATAATACATGTGTGAATACATAGACAAAACATAGTGTCACTAGTATGCCTCTACTTGACTAGCTCGTTTATCAAAGATGGTTATGTTTCCTAGCCATGGACAAAAGAGTTGTCATTTGATTAACGGGATCACATCATGAGGAGAATGATGTGATTGACATGACCCATTCCGTTAGCCTAGCACTTGATCGTTTAGTATATTGCTATTTCTTTCTTCATGACTTATACATGTTCCTATAACTATGAGATTATGCAACTCTCGTTTACCGGAGGAACACTTTGGGTGCTACCAAACGTCACAACGTAACTGGGTGATTATAAAGGAGTACTACAGGTGTCTCCAAAGGTACATGTTGGGTTGGTGTATTTCGAGATTAGTTTTCGTCACTCCGATTGTCAGAGAGGTATCTCTGGGCCCACTCGGTAATGCACATCACTTAAGCCTTGCAAGCATTGTAACTAATGAGTTAGTTGCGGGATGATGTATTACGGAACGAGTAAAGAGACTTGCCGGTAACGAGATTGAACTAGGTATTGAGATGCCGACGATCGAATCTCGGGCAAGTAACATACTGATGACAAAGGGAACAACGTATGTTGTTATGCGGTTTGACCGATAAAGATCTTCGTAGAATATGTGGGAGCCAATATGGGCATCCAGGTCCTGCTATTGGTTATTGACCGGAAACATGTTTCGGTCATGTCTACATAGTTCTCGAACCCGTAGGGTCCGCACGCTTAAGGTTTCGATGACAGTTTTATTATGAGTTTATGAGTTTTGATGTACCGAAGGAGTTCGGAGTCCCGGATGAGATCGGGGACATGACGAGGAGTCTCAAAATGGTCGAGACGTAAAGATCGATATATTGGACGACTATATTCGGAGTTCGGAAAGGTTCCGAGTGATTCGGGTATTTTTCGGAGTCCCGGGGAGTTACGGGAATACGGGGAAGAGTATTGGGCCTTAATGGGACATAGTGGGAAGGAGCCAGGAGGTGGCGCGCGCCCCTCCCAAGCCCAGTCCGAATTGGACAAAGGGTTTGGGGTGCGGCCCCCCTCTCCCTTCCTTCTCCACTTCCCTTCTTTTCCCCCTTCTCCTAGTTGGACTAGGAAAGAAGGAATCCTACTCCCGGTGGGAGTAGGACTCCCCTTGGCGCGCCCCTCCTAGGCCGGCCGCCCCCTCCCCCCTTGCTCCTTTATATACAGGGGCAGGGGGGCACCTCTCACTACTAGGGAAAACCTTATACACAGAATCTTAGCAGCAGCGCGGCACAAAAAGAAGCGCTACTGCTTATTAGCAGTAGCGCAGTTAAGAAAAACACGCTGCTACTAAGTTAATAGTAGTAGCGCGGGGTATAAAACCACGCTACTACTAAGTGGTTTCCACCGTGCTAACCAGAACAAGCAATAGTAGTAGCGCGGGATATAAACCCACGCTACTACTAAGTTGATAGTAGTAGCGCGGTGTATAAACCCCACGCTACTGCTATATAGTCCTCATCGGGCCCTCCCGCGACAGACCGCAGTAGCAGCGTGGGGTATAAACCCAGCGCTACTACTATAGCTCGCGGAGGCCAAAGCCCAAATTCCCCTCCGCCTCGCCTGACCACTCCGCCCGCTCTTCCTCTCCTTTTTCCTAAGTCCCCGGCGCCGCCGCCCGCCGTCCCCACCAAGCACCACCCGTCCCTCTCCCTCTCCCTCTCCACCCGTGCGCGCTGCCTCCCCCAGCGCCCCGTCCCCCTCGCCGTCTCCTCCGGCGGACGGGGTCGGCCCCACGGCGCCGATGCGGGGCGACGTGTACCTGGGGCGGCAGCTCGCAGCCGCGGCCGCGGAGGGAGCCCGCACGCGCGCGCCGGAGGAGGACGCCGAGAGGCGCCGCCGCCGCAAGGAGAAGCGGAGGGCCCTGGCGAAGAAGACGCCCTTCCCTTTTCTCCCAAATCAATCAATCAATCCCTCCCTCCCTCCATCAATCACGCGGGCAGGGCAGGGCATCCCCTCCAAGATTTGATTTTGCTTCTAAATCTTTAGGGGGGGGGGAGGAAGGGAAGGGGCGATACAGGAAGGAAGATGGACCAGCAGGAGGAGGAAGTGTCCGTCTCCGTCAGCGTCACCGTCACCGTTCCTTCCTCCTTGCCGCCGGAGGAGGAGGAAGAAGAAGAGCAAGAAGAGGAGGATGACATGGCTGCGGTGAAGATGGCGCTGGGCCCTCAGGTTCCCCTCAAGGACCTCCTCCACCTCCACAAGGCAAGCAAAGCAACCTGCATCTGCATCTTTCTTTCTTTCTTTTTAATACTAGTAATAGATAATAGATACTGAAACTGCAAATGGATGGATGGATCTATGTAAATATGTAATGTAGGGGGAGGAGGAGGAGGACCAGTCAATGAATTTAAGGTTTCTTTGATGCTTACTCTGCAGCTAAAGTATTTGTTCGGTAATGCATGGATATAATTGTAGGATAGTAGAAGGTTGTTTGGTCCTGGGTCTGTTCTTGCATCCATGTGTCCTTTTTACGTAATGATGATTATCCGGTGTAGTAATTCTTGTACAATTGTGCAAGGTGCCCGTAAAACCGAAGCGGTTGTTTTTTCTGTAAGCTCCACCGGTCCTTATTTGTATAGCACAGCCGCTTACTTACTTACTTAGCACCTCTGTCTGGTGCGGTGCTTAACTGAAAATAGGACGGTTTTTATTTTTACAAGGAAGCACCCCTCTAAGCAACCGCCTTGCATGAATAGTTACATGTGCGAATGGGAAGGCTGAGGCACTGACTGACTGCTGTACTTTGCTGTGTTTAAATTGTGCAGGGCCACCACCACCACCTGGTTCAATCTGATCTGATCTGATCTGAGAAGTGAAGCCAAAAGGAGTGGTGTGTAATGTTGTTGGTTGTTGTTCATAGTCAGACATGCCGCGTATGGACGTGGTTAGCTGCTCATCAACAAGATGTTGTTGTCCTCCTGGTAAATGTTTTGGCTGTCTAGATACACATGGTCATGGACCTGCAGTTGTATGCTGCTGTCATAACCCTCTCTATCTTCATATGTGAGAGTCAACAATCCATGTAGCTGCAGAAGATTTCCTAGCTGTCAGTCGTGTTGAATTCTTTACCGTCGTAAATGAAGTTTTGGCACTGACAGAAGTTACCTGATGATGAAATATGTGGTAGTGGCCCGGGTGTGGTCGGGCTCGAATTCTCTGCTATGGGTTTGGAGGAGTAATGTTTCTGGTTCTGCAGATATTCAAGCTCTGGCGGACGGAGTGTCTGTGCGTGAGCAGCGAGACGGCGGCTAAGGCTAGCGTGGAAGAGGTACTCTTCAGTTGCTTCATTCGGTTTTACTTAGTTTTGTGTCCTTGTTGGATGTACATGTACCCCAGTTAAACATGTGTGGTGCTCACTTTGCCCAATTTTATGTTTAAGGGTTAGCTATTGTAGGGCAGATGCTATGTAGAGAATCAATTAATTTCCTCTAGAAATGCTCGAGTAGTGATTTGGCGAAATTTGGAAATACTAGTTCTGCATCATGGCATGGATACTGTTAAGGGAGATATCATCTATTTATCCGGCCAAAGCGCATATGCGAAGCCTTTGATTCGAGGTAAAAATGGTGCATCGCCTCTCCCTACAAGGTGTTAGTTTTAGCATCTAGTTCTGCATCATGGCTGTAAACTGAAGTTGGTTCAGTTAAAAACTGCACTGTCCAATTTGGACAGAAAGCTTAGATCTGAAAAATGAGTTAGCTAGGCTTAGAATTTTGAGTTGGCCCATTTACATAAGTTTTAGATAAAGTTCCAAGGTTTCTTTAGAGTATTTATTTGTGTCGTTTGGATGTACGGTTTGAGAGCAGCCATCAATTTAGTTTGCTGTCCCCAAATATATGTTCCTGGGTACAGTATTTTGATATGGGAGATTAGGCCCTGTTAGAGGTGGTATTAAAATAAAGTTACAACATGAAAATTTTAGAGGCTGTTCTGTAGATACTTAAACACATATCACTTGTCAGGTTTCGTTCGTTATATTAAATACTATGAAATTATCAAAGTGGGCTGTACTATGTTGGACAGAATTTGATGTTTGGACTTGGGTGAATGTAACAAGACTTATACTCTCAGATTTTGTCATAGTTGATGGTGTGAGGACTTATAATGTGATAAAGTATATACGTTGTTGCAACACCAAAATCAGTGAAATATATTTCCTTTTTTT